GACTCTCTCACCATCAGAAACAACACTCTGTGGTCTATTCTGCGCCTTCATTGAGACTCATTTGAGGCTTCACAGGTTCAGATCTCCGAGCCTTCCGGTGGTACTCTGCAATGGCACATTAAAAACACAGTGGGGAGGCAGGGAAATAAAGTCATTTAAAATAATGACCTCTGATGGAAAACAGCTTCTCCTGACAATGTTGGCTATCTTGTCACCACTTCGCCTCATCACTGAATGATGAGCACCGTGACACGATGGGCACCGAGCAGATTAGCAATTCGTCCAGCAACTGGCAAGAAAAGAAGAAATGTAATTTAAATGTTAACTATGTGACCAAGAGGTAAATTATTTTATGCTCAATAACAGAGTTAACTCCTTGGCGGTTATTGCCTTTGAGAACTATCCAATAAAAGTCGCTCATCTCTGCATTTAAATAAGTCATCTGACATCGCTGGCACCCTCCGTACAGGGATTACCTCTAACAAGCTTCAGGCAGACGTTCCACTATCTCAGTTAAAGATTTTTAACCGCTCTACAGATAATGCCAGTCAGTATCTGTTCAGTTTAAGTAGTGCAGTGACGAGGGTGTGATAAGGCACAGCCGAGTTAAAAACCCTTATCTGGCTACAAGCTTAGTCCCATCTGCCTCTTTCCTCACACTGACTCATAATGCTGCTTATTAGTCCTTCTGGAGGATAAGGGGGAGAAGGGGAGATTTTTTGAAGGAGGGCAAAAGCAGGAAAGGAAAGACAGAGAGAAACAGATTAGGAGGGAGAGAGCTGAGCAGGAGGAGAGAAAAAATGCTAAGAATGTACAACACTGGAAACAGCAGGAGGAAAATGCTAATGTATTTTCTTAACACTGAAAACTGCAGGTGTGAAACATAAAACTAATTCTAAAACCCACATAGTGTTACTTGAGGTGAAATCAGTTGAGCATGTTTGCTAAGAGTAATTGAAATGTGTAAAACAGCTTTGTTGCTAATCGTCTCTGAAAGTTAGTTGAGGATTAGATTAAGTACTGGAAGAAGCTGAACTTTGGCTGAAAAGTATAACATTTCACTGAAAAGTTCCACCGAAGTAGAAGCGTCAGTAGTTCAAGTGTCAGTGAGTTCAAGAGCTGAAGGCAGGAACGCAGAAGAACAGGACAGGAAACAAAGTGCTGTGAAGAGGCAGGGCGAGGAAGACGTGTGCAACATGAGGTTTGACAAGGTATGGGGAATACCAGGGGAAACAGGGAGGAGAAGAAGAGGGGGAAAGTAGGAAATTATGGATGGAAGATTAAAGAGAAGAAGAAAGAGGCTCTGAGGGGAGGTGCCGGTGAGCAGATTGATCTCCAGATCCAGCAGACAGATCAATGACTCCCTGTCACCATTACAACGCTCCATCCCCTCCTCCTCCTTCATCTCTCCATCCCTGCATCTCTCTCCCCAACAGACACCCCTCCCTTATCCTGACAGGTCATCAATCAACCAGCAAACCACACACACACACACACACACACACACACACACACACACACACAACACACCACACCACACACACACCCACACACACACACACACAACCAAACACACCACAACACACAACACACACACACACACACACACACCACACACACCACACACACCACACACACACACACACACCACAACACACACACCCACACACACACACACACACACACACACACACACACCACCACACACACACACACACACACACACACACACACACACACACACACACACACACACACACAACACACACACACACACACACACACACACACACACACACACACACACACACACACACCACACAACACACACCACACACACACACACACACACACCCACACACCAACACACACACCACACACACACACACACACACACACACACACCACCACACACACACACACACACACACACACACACACACCCACACACACACACACACACACACACACACACACACACACACACACACACACACACACACACACACACACACACACACACACCACACACACACACACACACACACACACACACACACACCACACATACTTTACCCCTGTCTCTCTCTGCTCCTCCTCCTCTTCCTGCCCTCACCATCTGCACTCCATTTTTCATGTCCTTGTCACCTAACCCATCAGAGTCGAGTAAATGTCAAGGTGGACCCACAGAGAGAATGAATCACTAATGGGTGTCCTGGCGAGGAAAGGTACTGTTACCAAATACAGACACCTATAACTCTCTAAAAAACTAACTGCTGGTCTAGAGACACTTCCTGTGGCACTTCTGTTGAATATTCAGTAGTCTTTAGGATTAGAATACAAACAGCAAATGTTGGTTATTAAAGGTTAATCCTTTTGAAACAAACGTTACTTTGATAGTACACTTTGTCTCACCCAGTGGTTTCTAACCATGATCCCTAAGATGCGGGGTGAATGTGTTTTGACTAACTTTAGAATCGTTTCTCTTTTATTGTGAAATACCACGTACCTGTGTATGGCTGTCAAACTCTCAAATTAAACAATCTCAGAAACATCACTTTGGGTAAAACTAGTCTTATAGACAAGCAATGGATGACAAGAGGTCCCTACAAGAGTTGGCTTCAATTAGAGAGGTCACAGGTCACGAAGAGCCACAAAGATTGTAAACTACTGGCATACTTTTTGAATCCATGGTTTCTTGGAATTTCTAATAAATGCACATCTCTCATTGATCACTTATAATTCATCCATTACACCACATGCATGCAATACAGAGATTCAGTCAACCTTTCCATCACATTACTGTGGTGTGAGGTAGGACAACAGATGAGTTGCCATTGGTGTGAGAGGTAAACCCAATGTGTAGAAACATCACGTGACACCTTGCACATTGAGGTAACTGTGTCTAAGTATTTCTGATGTTAACCTGTAAGGAGCTTTAGCTGGATATTTAAGAAGAGGTGACAAACTAATAGTAACCATCGATGTAAAAAGGGCAACACTTTTCATGTCAGTGTAAGTTATACATGTATAAAGTCAATTAACGGTCCCAAAACTGGTTTTAAGATAGGTTTTTGAAGGAAGACTCATCGTTGTTCTCGCCTTCCTACAACTACACATAACCTTGTGCTCAAGATCCTGTGGTGAGCTCATCCGGTGTAAACAGAGGAACACTCACCGAACACAAACTCAGCTCCTCTCCAAATGACACTTTTCTCCAATTAATCTTCTCCACGAAGGAAGAAGGGCCGGAGTCTCTCCTCTTCTCTGCCAAATGTCCCTACGAGGTTATTCCGGCGATGTTACTTGTGTTTTCGCGATGTAGCGACGGTTTCTTGTTGCAGCAAACTGCAGGCTCGATACATCCAGGCACCAGGAACCCGACGCTGAGTGTCAATTTACTCCGCAGAATGAGCGCTGATTGGTCGCTTCCACCATAACACAGAGTTCTGCTCTCATGCTATTGGCTCAGGCTCCTATATTGAGTTCAGGGACTGCTAGTAAACTCAAACTTCTGTTGATGGAGCTGTACACAAATAATATCAGGACTACTGCAGCTGCCATTACTATTAAAACTATTGCTCTAATACTAGTGTTTTGCTCTAATTGTTTTATCAAATAACCGTTATTTCAAAACCCTTGGTTTCTTACAAAGCTGTATTGTATTTAGTATCTTATTTGTTCTACTTCATTTATCAAGTCATTTCCCTAAACATAAAGTTGTATTTGCTTTTTTTAAATTATATAATGGTACTGCCTCTATTTATATTAGTAGCTTTTAACACGTTGTTGTTCTTTATCTATGTGCTGCTATCTTTCCAACTAGACACTGGTAAGGATTTATAAAGTAACAAAAAACAATCTCTGTGAAGACATTTTTCAATTGGACATTAGCATATGACATCTGAGTTCGTTCATTTCATAGTAGGACCTTATTTTAGTTTTTTCATCAAAATGATTTAGTTTCCCCCCGCCTTTCTAGTTTTAAATGTATTTTCAGTCATTACTTTCTAAGATTCCGACAGCACTTGAAGGTATCACAATCCCCACGCTTTATTTATCTGTTCTGGTGCACATCCCATATTGTGGTTTCCAGCAGAATATTTATCACAAAACATAGATTATAAGTGGTATTCAATTAAGATGCAAAACCACAACCAATAAACTGATGTGCTATAATATCTGAAATGTAGGCTGATGTGTAAAATTAGAACAGAGGACAGTTGATTGATTAGCATCGAGTTGTAATAGGGGCAGTGTTTGTGCTAATCAACCCTAACATATGCACTATGATCAATACTAAATGAAGTTATCGATTCCAACCCGCAATGTTTGATGATGGATTGATCCAATGTCCATCTAGGCATTACACATGCATTAGAGAAAACTACATATAAATCGATCACTTTATTGGCCTCTAATGTTTGAGCCTAAAATGACCACCATGAAGCCATGGGCAAAGCGTGCGTGTGTGTGCGTGTGCGCGTGTGTCTTGTTTGATGTATTGAAAAGTTCTTTATGACAATTTGGACTGCAATTTCAAGAGTGGAAATAGAAACAATTGAATACAATTTGAACTCATACTGGTAAATTCCCAAAGAAGCTATTTGGCTCCTCCTGGTGGTGATTGTATGTAAATACAAAGAGTTTTTTCCATCCATACCTTTCATACTTTACTTTCTAGAGATGATGCACTATTATACTTTGCATTTACCTTAATTTTGTATGTACATACTGTATATACATATGATAGTAGTAGAGTTGTTGAGCTTCTTCATTCAAAATGAGACTATTTTAGAAAAAAATACTTTTTTAATATGCCAACTGAAGGGATTTTATTTGACTATTTAAAATATATTAGTCATGTGCACAGTGAATGACTTCATTACCTTTCCAAAAATCCCAAGGTGGAATCTTTTAAACTCTAGGGCTGTAAATACATGTGCAACAATGTAGTTGAATAGATAGATATACAATAATACAAAAAAAGAAGATATTACTTTAGTTGCAAGTGGATTTTTATTATTTTTGTTGAAAAAACAAACAAACAAAAAAATCCATCAACGATTGAGCTGGCACAAACCAATGTGGCAGGTTTCATTGAACCCTGCTTGAGGCTCCAGGTTAACCATACAAAAAGAAAGTGGATTGCATACAAACACTGAAATGAGAGCTACACAGCAGAGTGAAATGTTTGTCCAGTTGTCTGTACGTTTCACATTATTGTTATTTGACCTCATGTATTACTGCAATGTAGCCAAAGACAGAACTATTACAACACAAGCCTCTTAAAGTGTACTGCAACACGTTTAAGAATATTATGCCTGAATGCACCGTATTTTACTATAATTGGCTAATTAAATACAATACTTATTATTCAACATGAAAGCTGTGCAGACTTTATCATTTTCATATGGGGAATGAATATGCTGCGGTTGTATACTGTGAACGGAGACCTTGATTACAAACATCGTAAACGTTTTTAAGGTAAATTTGATTACGTGTTGGGTACAATTTGAAATGTGTTTATCGGGTTTTCCTAAAGAAAACCATTATGTATAGTATATTCACTTTTTAACTGAATGTTGATGATACTTTCACCAACAACCCTTTCTGTAACAGATTAGCAATTATGTTTTGTGTTCAGTTTTTAACAGTTCCAACTGTGTACAGTGTTGTAGAAAGACAATTCCAGTTGTTGAACTCTCACATTAAAGTTATAACATCTTCATATTCACAACATGTTGCCAGGAGAACCAAAAACGTGAAAGAAAGATCGAACAATGTAAACAATACCAATGACGCGAACATCCAAACTTTGCAATATGGATCAGTTTTATGAAAGCAGTAAAACCGAGTAACCAGCGCTCCTGCACAAATGCGTTCATGTAAGTATTTGTCCTGCAGAGTTTGTAAGTGTAAGCAGAAGCATAAATGTTTGCATGAAGGGTTACAGTGACACACAAATAAACTCACAGTTTATACTGAAAGATAAATCAGTCAAGCAAAATCAATTGTCAACAGTCAATGTCAAACAAGGTTAGATTGCACAAAAATGCACCAATAAATTGCAAACTACAGCATGATCGTACACGGGCCTAAGAACAAAAAACAATAGATGATATGCATATACAGTATCTATATTATATACACACACATTTGGACATCCTTCACAACTACTCAGGAATCTAAACTGTACAATATATCTGCTTTAAGAACAGTTGCGCAAAATACCATTTTGATATAAAGTAATACTTATTTTTACTTCTACAATGTACAAGTTCAAACTGTCCACACAATAAAATGCAAGCATAAGCCCTAAAAGGCCACAAAAGTGCATGTTATCAGGTCAGTTGGAAGCCACTGGAAGGAAGGACTGGCGTAAGAGTGGGAGCGTCTCCACACTCAGACCCAGTGTCTTGCAAGATGAATTGTTAGTGGAGGGAAATCTGGAGTAGATAATAATTAATATACATGCAGGCACACACGAACCGCAGAGGCTCAAACACACACATTCTTAAAACATAGTCGGGCGAGAAAGTGACCCACGTGTTAAACCTACACTCACACTGTCACACACAAACAGGTAATGGGGCGATGATGAAACTTCCAACAACATTCTCCCGCTCCAACATTTCCCCACACCGTCACATTTTATTCAAGTAGTGGCACTCCAATAATATATACTTTAGTCTTGGTACCTTTTGAACATCACACACATCTCAGAAAATAGAGGATACGAAAGGACACGTTAGTCTCGTGTTTTTCACACAAGATATTTAAAGTCCTGTCCAGCGACTGTGTGCAGGCCGAAGCTGGCCTTCTTTGCCAATCTTATTTTGGTGTTAACAAATAAAAACTGTGGACACAGAAGGCCAACTTCACCCGAAGCAGGTCACTATCAGGCGTAGAGTTATAGAGCAATGGGGGAAACACTGAATATCAGCCTTTCATCCAAATCTTAAGAAACACAAGCCAGTTTCTGAGGCATGTGTGGGAGTGACAGGCCGTCACAAGCTCATCTCTGTGTTTTCCTGTTTAAGGCAAGAAAGCTCACTGCTGTGTTTAAACTTCAGGCCATCAATAGGGGGAGGGGGGCTGCACTGTTGAGAGGGGAATGCTTGAAGCCACACTTTTTTGTAGTGCAAAGATGGTGACTTTAAAACAGACCCAAGTCTTTGTTTCCTGCTTCCTTCTGACATTCTGCTTACACGGCTAACTGCCAGTCGTCTGATAGTAAACTAGTCTCACAGCACTGAAGCAAGACCAGTGCAGACAAATAGTGCCAATGGAGAACCATTGACCTACATTAGTTTTAATTTCTCCTGTCCAATTGTAATTGCCTCCAAGCATCCCCCTTTTAAAATATCATTGAGTGGAAAGGCAGTTTTTCAAGGGAAGCGTACAAACTAAAACCTTTTTCAGTTAATGCCACTGAATTGTGCTTAAATTATTGTATTTTTTAGGGGTGGCCTTAGTTTGCAAGGTGCCAAACTCTGTATTTATACTGTCAGTGCCTCATTTATCCTCCTATGACCTTTTTTTGGGAACTGTAGCCAACTCTATCGGTTTCAAGGAACTGGAGGTGTTGATGCTGATATGGTGAAGAAAGGGATTTCCCTTCCTCCAATTTCCTCATCTTTTGTCTTTTTTTTTTTTCTTCTGGTCCATTAGAGTATTATCGGTTTTCCTTTGGTCTTCATTTTAACATGTCGTCTAGCCTTCCCCCCCCCCCAAGGGCTTTCTTCTCAGTCATTTGCTTATTGACTCCCTCTTTAAATGAGAAGGAGACGTACCTGGTGGGCTAACGGCCGAGCAGGTAGACCACCACCTCGTAGGTGAACATCATGATGGCCGTGTTGGGGATCTGTCTGACGAGGTGGGTGGTTAGGCCGTGGTACAGCGCCCGGTATCCCTCCTCCCGGGATACCAACAGCAGAGTCTGGAAGAAGGAGCGATACTTGCTGCCTTCCTCTCGTAGCCGCGTGCGGATCACCTCTGCGATTAGAGAGAAGTAGAAGAAAATGATGTTAAGGTCTCAAAAAAAAGGCTGCTATTTATTAATTGATCTTTTGGTATACTGATTTTCTATAAATAAGGTATAAGAGATATTGATTTGTCCCAGAATGACTTCAGACAAAGGGTGTTTGAAGCGTTGCATTCAGCTGTGGGCTGTGCGTAGTCGGAGAATGACAGTGATATTTATAGCATAAGTGGAGCATCATATTTTCCAATACGAAAGTATGAGTCACGGCCCGTCCACATACAGGCATGAAAAAAATCTTTCAAAGCTTCGCCCATTCACTTGAATGGGGGTGACGTAGAAGATTTTGAATCTTCGCCGAACTGCATTGTGGGGAGCGGAGCATGGCTTTGCAAGCATCGTGAGCATCAAAAGTTGAGCAATGTTCAACTTTTGATGCTCCCGATGCTTTCGAAGCTGGCATCAGCCAATCAAATCCCGTTTATGCAAATCCCACCAGTACAAGCGCTAGCCAATCAAACCGCGTGCAAGCTGGGAGAGCCAGACCGCAGTTCATTTCCTCATATTCCAAACGAGAAATTACGGTAGCAAATCACCCGGTTCTTTACGACCAGAACTATTTACCGGGATACAAACCGGAGGAACCAGGCATGGAGGGAGGTGGCAGAGACAGTGGGTGAAACTGGTAGGTTTTCGCCTGTTTGGGGAGTTTATATCCAGTTTACTTCGTTTTAACATTGCTATTGCTTTGTATGTCGGGGGCGGGAGATTCATGTGATTGGTTGTTGGTCGCAAAAAATCGCCAAGCTTCAGACACGCCCAGCATCAACATTTTTCAAGATTTATTTCATGCCTGTGTGTGGACCGGCCGTCACTCTCTCACTATAAATCTTACATTCATAGTGAGAGATGCTTTTTTAGATGGTGTATCCCTTTAAACTATCAATGACTGTTTTTGAATGTATGTTTGTGTATAAATTAAACAACTAAAATATAATGTGTTGGCTGATGAGCTTGGTTTACAGTCTTAATGCTTTGCTACCTAAGCTTCTGTTACAATCCTATTAACAAAGGGCACAGGTGACCAGAGTCCCTAAGAGAGAGAAGTGGAGCAGAGGGATGTCTTTACAAAAACTACCCAGCCCAGCTGTGTTTAGGGAATAAAACTGCCTTTTTATAAATCGGAGATTGCAAGAGTAACATTGTGGTACTTTCTAAGGTACCTGAACCAATCATTCCCAGGCTCTTAAGGTCTTTATCCTCACATTAAAAGTGTTACTATTAATTCAGTTGCCAAAAAAGTTGGTTCAGGATTAATAAAGGATTAATGGTTAGCTAAACGTGCCAACAGACAAATGACGGGATCTTTTCATTTTAAATACTTTAAATACTTTTGGTTTACATTACGGTTGTGTAAAGAAGAAACACCAGATTGTGTTGAATGCATTTCTACCGAGTAGATTTGGTTTAAAGCACATTCAAACTTTGAAAACATTTATCAAAATTAATCATTTTCCAGCTTGCTTACACTTTGACACAGAGAAGAACCCTGGTAAAACAAGGGCATATATTTCGGATCTCTTTTTTAAGGTTCATGTCTTCAGTTGGAACTAGTCGGCTTGTGACGTGGGAAACTCAGAAAGTATTTTTTTATGGACTTAATGGTTTGGTATTTTTAAGGGATCTTTGGACATTTCATGCTACAAGAGACAGAAGGTTACCATGAGGGTAGGCGATGGAGGTGGCGCAGGTCTTGGAGGTGGCTGCTGCGAACATCATGGCCACAAAGTCTGAGGCTTCCTTCACAGTCTCTGCCTCTTTGTCCATGCTGGAGCGGGCCTTGTACTCCAGCAGTTTGCGTTTGATGCCCTCATAGATGACAAAGTGGATAACGGTCTCAGAGATGCCAGCGTATGAGGCTGACATTCCCCTGTAGAAGCCTCGCAGGCCGTCCATCTGGTAAACCCGCCGCACGCACTCGAAGGCGTTCATTCGCCGCTCACCCTTGTTCCTGGAATCATATAGAGACTTTTAATCCATGTCCAATAACAACATGATTTCATTTTCCTTTTTATTTATTATTATTAAAGTTTCCTCACCTGGTTTCCAGCTGCAGGCGGGTCTTGATCAGCCAGATGGGATTGGTGGCTGTGATGGCGGTGAACCCTGGGAATTTCAGAGGAGGACAGAGGTTCAGACAGAGGCACAGACATTTGGAGGGACACAATCTATTCTACTATATTAAATATTCTATATTGCACAAGGACAATGAAAAGCACTTCACTAAACAGGATCAACTTCAGAGTTTTACTTTACTATGTGATATTTTATTACTATACAATATTTGTATATATTAAATATTTTTTGAAAGATCAGAATTATTTTTGTTACAGACAAAAATGTATGTTTTCCCATTGATCCTCTTCATGTGAAATGCTACACAAGTGCATGTAAACAAAAGATCTCTGACTGAAGTAAAGTATCTTAACGAACTAACAGTGCATAAAGGCAGCAGCTGTGAGGGCTTTCTTTTCTCCATTTGTCATCTTAATAATTTTTCTAACTGGAACACTGGGAAATGAGGCCGAGCCGCAGAGTCGTTGTAGGCCTTTGAGTGTGGCAGATTGTTTATACTGCAGACTATTCATTTCCTTGAAATGATAATTAGAGCTCTTGTGTTTTTAATGAAATCATTTGCTATTGAGACATGAGCTCTTCTTAATGAGCTTACGGAGGCGGTCTGTTTTTCTAATATCATTACTTTCAATGTGCTTTGAACACACAGAAGTATTGGCCTAATACAAGAAATTCATTCCACAACTTCGAGTCACAACACAGCTTTGATTCTTTGATATCATTGGTTAGTCATTGCTATAAATGTTCTTTTAATTTTGGTTCTTCAATATGAATGTTCCATCTTTATTAGTCAATGAATGAACATATTTATGTTTATTCTGTGACTTTGAACAAAGCAGTAGTTAACTGGTTGGACACTAGAGACAGGCTGTAGGCCTGATACTAGCACCACTACAGGACAGAGAAACAAAATGGTGTCTGGAGGAGATTCTTCAATTATTCAGCAGGACTAAAGTGGAAAGTCTCAGACGGGAAATTTAGAGCCGACTTTTCATCCTGCTGGTGAGCAACACTGTTGACCATGTCAAGTGGCCTTCAGCCAATATAAATGTTAGCTTTGTTTTAAACCTGGGTCCCTCAATAATGGGGTCCCTGAAATTGTATTTAAAATGCACAGAGTATATTCTAAGCAGATGTGAGTTTGTGCATGTGTTTGTTTGAGTTATTTGAGTTGAGAATGTTATTTTATTTTTATTAAGTAGAAACGCTGGGAAATGTACAGTAAGTAAAGTTTGATGTGTGGTGTGTGAAGCTAACTAATTAGCACTTTGTATCACTAAGAAATGGCACAAAGTCTCTCTAAAAGTTTCTGATACGAAAGATGGAACAGTAAGAAATAAAAACATGGCCATTGCAGAAAACAGCTAAGACGGAGGCAAGTCTAGAAAGAGACCTGTCACATCTAGTGATTCAATGCAACACTGCCCTACGTTAAGGCAACGGCGTGAAGAAGAGAGGAAGACACAGGTCTGTTGAAGAGAAGGAGAGAAGAAGAAAAAGAGGAAGAAGAAAAAAGAGGGAAGTAGAAGGAAGTAGCGTCTATGGCGTGTACTCACGAAGGAGGGGCAAAGCTCCTCCAGCTCCTCCCCGCTGCAGCTAGTAGCCTGCAGATATGGGGGGCACAGATGGCGGGGGTCTCCCACCCAATCACGCAGGGGTGAAAGCTTTACAGTAAAACCCTAAAATAGACACAGGCTTTTCTGTACCACAATCGCACACAAGCAGCAGTCAAATCCACCCCCAACCCCACCACCCACCCACCCACCCTTTCATTGACTCTTAGTTATAGAATTAAGTTGTTTTCAATTTATTTTACTTACAGTTGATAATTACCTTTACTCTTTTTTATCAACTAGAATAAAGAAAATGTTGACTGAACACAAGCCAACCCAATCCAAAACTCCAGCTCCATTTCACCAGAGTGAGGTAAATACACAAGTACAAAGGAAGACAATTAAATTGAGGATGTATTATTAATAATAATTTTGCTATTATCAGTTAATGAACAATATATATATATATATATATCTATTAGATTAATAATTAAATCAGATGCATACTGAAATAATGTAGAAAATTAAAAGAGGCAGGTGGAAATGCTAACCTTGTCGTTGAGACTGAAAGCGGTGGACAATGGTGATGAAAGTAGTGACATATGTGTATGAATATGTGATGACAAAAGGAAGTGGTTGATCATAGGAAAGTGAATGAATGGGGTGGAACAGTGAGTCAGTCAGCTCCAAATATCTGGGCCAAACCTCATTCTGGAAAAACTAGGATCAATTTAAATATAACACTAGTCCTTCAAAATGTGGAGAAAAATATGTGAGGCTTATAGAAAACACATCAAATAACAAGTCCTCTCCAATGTCGAACAAAAGGACTCTGGAAATCGCAACCTCAAAACGGTTTTCCAAAGTTACTGAATGACACCAAGTAGTGGTTTTGATTTATATTTTAAAGATGAATTTTTAACGGAGGCAGATTAAATGTAGCTGTTATTGTAATGAGTAATTTAAGTTGATGATATGAATACTTTTAGTTAAATATGTTAATTGATGATGTATTTTTGTCCTTGCATGTTTATACTTAGCATTTTTTGCTGCTCGTTTACAACAAGGCTTGTCTCGATAGGACAACATGTCTCAATGGATAAGTGATGTGTACAAATATGAAAGATGAAAACATTTTTCATCGTGACTTCATCTGAGCCAATAACGCATGACTAAAAAGGTCTCAATGTAACTGTATGTATGGAACAAAGTAACTCCAGAAATACCAAAAAGTAAATCACAGTTGGCAGATTAAATAAGCCATGAAGAACACACATAAAGGTATTCAAGCCTCTGTGAGGAGCCTCATCTGCAGGTGGGCAGGCTGCTGCATGTCTGCAGTATGGCCTTTTATAGCCACATCATCTGTGTGTTCCTCCAGAGGATGTTAACCTACATAATATGGAAGGAAAATATGCTCTAAATTAACTCCAGGTTTAAATCTAAAATTGGGACTAGCCTCCCTTACTTTTCAAAGTCAAAGGGACGTCGTAAGAGGCAGTGACTTCACAAAGTTAGTGAGGCTTTCTTTAACCCTGCATGAAATATGTGCACATGCACAACAAATGTATCTGTGCAGCAACTGTGAAATAAATGAGTGCTGCAGTACAACAGAGGTTTGTATTATTCAGATCTACGGATGAATGAATGCAACAGCTACACTGATGACTAAATATGTGCAGCATAAAGAAACAAAAACACTAAACTGACTTTTCTATATGGTCTGCTAAAGTTTGCCCAACTCCATAACATGATGTTTCTTTACTGCATATTGCACACATACAAGTACAAATGGGTGTTTTTTAAACTGGTGCCAATACTGTTGAGGTAAGTTTGTGAAGGAATCATCTTTATTTAAAAAAAAAGAAGTTAAACCAATAAAAAAAAAAGAGGAAGCAATGTCAACATATTAATGATTTTCCTTAAGAATAAATGTCAAAGAAATGAGTCAGTAATTGTTTTGATGCATGAAAAAGACAAAATGGAGCACATCAATTACCACCTATAACCTGTGGCAGTGACAAGGTTAGCATTTCTTTGGTGCTGACAACATCAAATCCAGATTATGTGTCATAGCTTTAACTTTACCATGTTTATGAAACAAGGGGAAGGGGAGGTGTTTGTCAAAACTAAGAAATAACAAGCCTTAAAATAAGTTCCTAAAACTACAGACCAGCAGCTAACACGGTGCCATAAGCAATGGTAAAATCATCACAAATGAATAACCATTATGAACTGTCTAATATTCATAAAAATCACCATGGTTTTCATCATACCAGTGTAAAGAAATGGGATGCTACCTGCCGTGTCCGCCCGAGTGCCAGGGGCCCCAGTTGACCTTTGGGGGCTGTGCTCTCTCCTCTATACACACAGAGCAAAGAAGGGGGCCCAGACCACACTGTTCAAGTAACAACTGTGATGTTAAACCATTTACAGTCCTCTGGAGACGCTTCAAAATTAAATAAAAAGAGGATGAGAGGGCAAGGAGGAAATAAAAAATAATGGAGGACATGGGGGACAAAAGGGCTAAGAGAGGAGGAAAGCACAACCTAAACTTTGAGGACCGTGAGGTTTGTCAAACAAATACAAATATATATGTGTTATAAATACCAGCAGTGGCACATTATAGCCTCAATTGTCTCGATGCCGGGTTTCATTTGCATCAAAGTCTAAGAATGCTGATTTAGCGTGTGTCGACTCAACTATACGCTATGTTGTCTGGCAAGGCAGCCATGAACATACAAGATGGTTTATCAACTGGGTTAAAAAAAACGTCAACTCAGGGCGAAAAAAACGGTCGACATAATTGGCGTTTTTTCTTCTATTGTCCAATTGGTTTAATTGAGAGGCGGGACTCCTTTGAATGCTGTTGATTGATAGCCAGAGCCATATGACTTTACCAGCCGAAGTTACCATGATCTGAACAGAAAACAGCCCAGAGGTAAGGAGTTAGTATGGTACTTGAGATTTCGTGTTAGTTGTTTTTGTCAACTTAAACTGTATAATTACAAGTGTACCGTTTATGGTTTCTTTTAAGCTAGCCCTTAAACTCTATCAGTGGTTGTGTAGCATTGATCAGCAGAAAACACTTTGCCTGGTCTTCTTGAATAAAACAAGGCAGGGGGTGCGTATTCTGATCAGGACCACAGTCAAAGTTAAATTCATCTTTAATGGAAGGTTTTGTTTCACAGTGAGGCTGTTTTCATCACAATCAAGGTCGAGGTCAGTTTGATCCTGAGTCTTAAATTGTGCTTTCTGATAAACCACCTATAGTTTATATTTCATAGTTCTATACATAAAACATCTTCGTAATAATGCCTACTTGTAAAATATATCATATATTAGATCTTGCATGCTTTTTGATATTCACAAGCTTTTAATTTGTGAAAATCCCACCATCCTACACATGTATATTAAGAGGGGGGTAAAGGGGAGGGGGGTGATGGGAAACTCCGGGGTATTTGAACTTGTGAAAGTGATGAAAAGTAAACTGTCTGATGAAGACAAACTGAATAAGTCTTTAACATGTTTTTTTTATAAAACCCATCAGTGATTTACACTGCCCAGGCAGACAGACAGCAGAGATAACGCTCAGCGACAGACAGGGACACACAGACAGAAGGGGGAGGGGGGGGAGCCATCTTTACCTGCCAGCCCAGCCGACACCATGTGCACCTGGGTAGAGTCCGGCTCCAGCACGCCATTCAGCTTCTCCTTGGCTGTCGAATAGGCCCCAAAGTAGATCGCTCTGTTGCAAATAATCAGAACAATAATCAACCTCTAGACCAGTGATTCTCAAATGGGGACCCCTAGGGGTACGTTGGAGTACTGCAGGGGGTACGTGAGATTTATTTTATGTTAATGAAAAAAAAAACATAATTAATGCATTTAAACAAACTACTAATAGTAGATTAACTACTTTATTCAAAGGTTTACAGAAATTCTGGATAATAAAATGGGAAAAGTAAACGGGTTGCTCTCTTTTCCTCTCCCTCTCCTGACAGCCCGTCAGTCTCGTGCAGCTCGCTGAACCTGTACTAAGTGACCCGACAGTAAAGAATACATATATTTAAAACTAGTTTAGCTAGTTCCAGAGTAGATAAAGTAGCTAAGTGTGTTAGGTCCAAAAAATATATATATACCAATTTTAGGAAAATTAACGAAGTTTGAGCAGTGTGGGTTTTATATGAACAGAGTTACACATATTTCAAAACGCGAAGTGTAATAACTGCAGTTTGCCTCCCTGTCAGCATGACAAAGCTCCTCAGTGAAGCACAAGCCCATGTTTCTAAGTACAACTTATTAAAAATATCAGTTCAATGCAACTAATGTCGTCTTAGTGTTATTGCATGATGTTAAAATTGGTTTGCCATGAATTTAGTGATGGATTGTAAACATTTGAAATGTAGCATTTAAGGCAAGGCAAGTTTATTTATATAGCACCTTTCAACCAGGCTTGGAATTTCGTCATTTTAGGGGCAAGGCCATTTGGCCTTTGGTGTCACACATTTTTTCAGGGCGCAAAGGCCACATGCCAGGGCACAAAGGCCATTGAAGGAAACATTTGGATTTGGAGCTTAAATAACTTCACTTTCTGATAAGAAAAACACATGAATGACATGGAAAACAAATCACTTTTTTTAATATCAATAATGTCAAACATTATATCATCATATAGGCCTATGCCTCCTTAGTATTACCGTATATAAAATAAAATACTCTACTTTGAATAATTAGTGTTTGGTATGTTTTCCATCTACTACTACTCCCATTCACAAATCCAAAATCAAATCAAAAAATCTAAAATTCTATTAATATGTAACAAATATATTCCATTTCAGAGCATAAGAATAAGCCTTCAAGGGTCAAACTCCGCATACATCATTTAGCAGTGCACAGTGAAGTGTGTGTGTGTGTGTGTGTGTGTGTGTGTGTGTGTGTGTGTGTGTGTGTGTGTGTGTGTGTGTGTGTGTGTGTGTGTGTGTGTGTGTGTGTGTGTGTGTGTGTGTGTGTGTGTGTGTGTGTGTGTGTGTGTGTGTGTGTGTGTGTGTGTGTGTGTGTGTGTGTGTACGAGAGTCTCTTTAATCAACTCCTCACAGCTCTGTTCAGAAACTGAATACAATCGCTGCTTTAATTCTGTCTTTAGGACGTTGTTGTGAGTGTGGACGGAGCAGCTATATACAGGTTAGTTTAGCCTGATTGATCCATTCAGAAAACACGCATTTTAAAAGATTTTTCGCTTGCCGTCTTGTCTGCAGACTTGTCAAAGCATTAATTCATGTTTTTTACTAACCGGTATCAGTATGTTGTTACTTCAGCATCATTTTGAAACGTGTCTTACAATTAAATCACTGTAAAATAGGTTACGTTTGTCGTAGTTGGTTTCCACCACAGTATTTACATGGAAATAAGCCACGCCCCCTCTCCAGCGCGTTCTGTTTGAATGACAGGAGTAAACACAGCTGACAGCCGCAATGAAACTCCAGCGGTTGGAGCAATGCTAGTATTCGCATCGCGTCCGTTGTGAACGCAGCATAATGCAGTTCAGAAACCACTGTTCTGACGCTTTTAAAGCAACTTTTAACAGTGCGAGGGGCCCAAATGCCATGGTGGCCGTAGGACGTACAATTATTTGTGGGGCATAACGGCCAGACCGAGGGGCTACGACGGCCATGGCCGTCATGGCCGCCGTGAAAATCCTACCCTGCTTTCAACACAAGGCAACTCAAGGTGCTTTACAAAAAGGCATTTTAAAAAAAGATAATAAAAGAAACATTAAAAGAAAAAATACATGAATAAAAAGTACATGAATAAAAAGTACATGAATAAAAATTACATGAATAAAAAGTTACAGTGCAGTTTAAGATATGAATAGTTCACACAGAAGTTCCACTTTACTGATGAACACAACGGCTCAGTTTCAATTAAAAGCAGCGACAAAAATAAAAGTCTTCAGCCTGGATTTAAATGTAGTAAGAGTTGCAGCGGACCTGCAGGTTTCTGGGAGTTTGTTCCAGATATTTGGAGCATAATAACTGAACGCTGCTTTACCATGTTTAGTTCTGACTCTGGGGACAGAAAGCTGACCAGTCCCTGAAGACCTGAGAGATCTGGATGGTTCATAATTTAGCAGGAGGTCAGAAATGTATTTTGGGCCTAAACCATTCAGTGCTTTATAAACCAGCAGCAGTATTTTGAAATCTATTCTTTGACACACAGGAAGCCAGTGTAAAGACTTCAGAACAGGAGTGATCCACTTTCTTAGTGTTAGTGAGGACTCGAGCAGCGGCGTTCTGAATCAGCTGCAGCTTTCTAAAAGATTTTTTAGTGAGACCTGTAAAGACACCATTACAGTAGTCCAGTCTACTGAAGATAAAAGCATGGACAAGTTTTTCCAAATCCTGCTGTGACATTAGTCTTTTAATCCTAGATATGTTCTTTAGGTGATAGTAGGCTGATTTAGTAATTGTTTTAATGTGACAGTTGAAACTCAGGTCAGAGTCCATGACTACACCTAGATTTCTGGCTTTATCTGTTGTTTTGAACATTGCACACTGAAGCTCAGCGCTAACTTTTAAGTGTTAAGTGTTTATCAGTTACAATGTTGTTGTTTTAATAAATCAGACACTGATGGTGCAGCACTATACTGTACGTCTTTATGCTTTTTTTCCTTAAAAACCCCGAGCCTGTTTTTCAGGTCTCAGGCTCGAAAATGACATTCCCAGAACAAATGACCATATCTTCCCTTCTAAAAGGGTTAAATTAATAATCTTTTTTCTCAAAGTAATGATAAACCTGTGAGTTGGATGTAGAAAAGTAAGAATCAATATAGATTGAACATGGTAAAAAACTGTAAATTATAGTGTCCGTCCAAAATATATTTTGTACTTATAGTGAAAACTAACCTTGGTTGATGGGTTAGTAGACTAAAAGCTTTAGGAATCCAAAGTACAACATATAATAAGTACCCTGTATCAAGAATGATGCAAAACAAGTGATATTTGACCTTTTTAGACAGATTTAGCAAAAAAAACCTCTTCTGGGGCTATTTGGGTGGACTTTCCATATCTCTGGCCCCCCTTGTTCGATTTTGACATGTGACATCTCTTTCTGACCGTTAGAGCCAATAGAATCCAAGGGAAATCATCCCGCACACACTCATGTTCTCTCTACGCATGCTAGCTTGCAGCAGAGGGGAGAAATATTGCTGCTCTGATATAAAGCAACAGAAAAGCTGTTTTATTACTTATGGATTATCAGAACATTTCAAAGGGGACACAGACACATTGGATTAACCTATGGATTAACTACAGCATCGTTTTTATCGTTTTAATGCCATTAAAGACCAGTTTTGACCAGACAAAGACGAAGGTAAGCCATGTTAGCGTTGTGGGCTACCAAGCGCCACTTGTTTTGATGTACGTTTTTGTTGATAACGTCGCGAGTTTGTATCTTTCAGTGTTGAGGTGGGCACCGTTATATTCTGTGTCTCCCTGCGATCATAAACGATGTGTTGGATGTGCACCTAGGATAAATAATAAGGGAGCTAGGAGTGATTATCGGTGCAGTAATAGGTTAGCATTTTTCGCTCAGGGGTCATTTAGATGCTTCTTATGAGACTTGTGTTTTGTTTTGGTAAAAATGGTTTGTATCATCAGTTAGCTGAGATTATTCCCGTTAATCTGGTATAACACATTAATAGGTTCTTAAATATTAAGATCCACTGAGACAGTGTCGTGAACCAAAAACAAAAAGGACCCGCCGAGGGGGTCCTTGGGGCTTAACAGGTTAACAAATAGTTTTTGCGCTGATCAGGGGGTACTTGTCTGACGTTTTTTTTTCAAAGAGGGTACATTATTGAAAAAAGTTTGAGAACCACTGCTCTAGACTGTTTAAACAACACATTTACAATAAAAAAATGTATGATAGGCATCAGGGTTTAAACCATGAGTTAAGCAAATTAAAAACAAATGGACACAAACACAGAAAAAAATATTATGGCAAGATTTTAAAGCAGAATATCATTAAGTTAAGTAAGTGCATTATATATGAAACCATTATTTGAATTGCCTGAATTAGTACTGCCAAAAGTGAACGTCAGGGCGTGCAATAGAGCTAAACCAAGCTAATATGTATCTGTGTGTGCACACTCTCAATCTCATGGAACGCTTTAGTAACAGATTTATCTCCCACGACTTTAGCTGCTTCTCACTAATTAAAATCACCGGATTTATTCAACATTTCTGCAGAGTGGAATTAAACCCAATGACCTTGACTCCCTGCCCTCCTTCTCAAGAGCATTCATGCACAACATAATGCCGATCGGCACATGAGAGATGATTTATGTGTGTGTTTGACCCTCTATGTGTATATGTATCTCTCATATGTTATACGTGATGCTGTTGTTGCAAGCTGTGTGTGTGAGTGTGAGTGTGTGTTTCTTCTAAACGCCAGCAGCAGGCCCAGTGGACTGAACTTTCATTAGCATCATGAGATTTTTTTTTAGCTCTCCAGTGACAGACTACTGCTTCCTTATTAAAACAGGAGAAAATAGTAGCTCTGTAGCCAAGCAACCCAGGTCTTTCTTGTAGACAAATAAAAAAACGATAAATTAAATGTATTTGATTGTGTCTGAATCCTCAGCTCAATCTAAACTGGTATTTAAATAGAAAATAAATGACATCTTATGTTGCCATACATCTTCAACACCAAGCATTGATCCAATAGTTTCAATTTGGCAATTTGTTATTATCATCCAGTGAAATCTCTACTAGTATGATACCAGAAGGCTGAACTAGCGAATCTAGCTGCTCCGAGTAATTAGTGATAATTTAAAATGTATTTTTTAAGATATCCTGAATGTCTTATTAAATGTGGCAATAAAGTAATAAAAAAGGGTTTACATTAAATTATTTAAACAAATATGTAGTTGAAAGTGATACAGCTTCAGTTAGGTGGTTGGAAATCATGTAATACATCCATAACCAAATGTGATGATATACTGTATCTGTAATTGTACACAGCATGTTAAGATTTATGTTAATGTGGTTATATATTTTAGCAGGGAAAACTTGTCCTCGTAATATGGCCTCAAGTGGTTCTTATACCCACATGCAAAACAGCCGGAAATCTCATATGTTGCCATTGAGTTCATCAGGGTGACTAGTTATGCAACAATATCTTCCTATAGCAGTTTGCTATCGCTGTCGTGACCAGAAAACAAGCTGCCATTTCCACAGCTGGAGAACTAGCTCACGGGAATGACACACACGCGCACGTGCGCACGCGCACACACACACACACACACACACACACACACACACACACACACGGGGACATTTATTATCCCTCTGAGAGTCTGAGCCTCACAGATTGAGACAGCGTAGAAAGTGCAGGACCCAGAGGTGAGGACAATTCTGATTTAATCTATGCCAAGAATGACAACACGGTGAAACAAAGGTGAGAATAAGAATGTGGAAAGGATGACTCATATGGAGATTGAGTCCATAACGAACCAACGGGAAGAGAGCGACAATGACCATGTGATGCAGCCGTAGCCAGGGAGAACTAGACAGGTCAGGGGGGGGATTAGTCACGAACACAGCTCTCCCAATAGGAACTCCATTGTGATGATAGACATCAACATCAACAACAGTCACATGGTCAGAGCGTCACAGCTGCCTGCTGTTGCTGAGGTTTCATTCAGACTCTGATTGACTGAGTACAGGCTGTGATGTAACCCTGACCAGCCAAGCTAACAGAGAGGGAAACAACTCATTTCCCTGTGGGATTTAAATACCAGATTGCTGGCCTCCTATTATTGCTACCAACATAAGCTCTGAATGAGCCGGGAGAAAATAAGAAGATCAGGCAGGAGCAAATGCCTCAACACAAATATGTGCCCATGTTTGATATGACATGTCAAGTAAATTATGGAGAAGTTATTTATATTCTTTAATATATAAGTCTTGCTGGTGCTGGAATAGTGGTTCTTTCTTAAGGTTTGTCATAAAAATCTAAGATTGTGTTCACTACTGTGCTGGTTATCAGACATGCAAGTTATGGTTTAGGACAGGGGTGTCAAACTCAAATACACAGTGGGCAAAAATAAAAAAATTGGTACTAGTCGAGGGCTGGACTGGTTCAATATTTATTGCAAAACTTATTGAAATGAACTTATTGCACATATTAAACCTGAAACCTGGAACCTGGATTTCCCTCAAAGAAAAAACTAAACATGCCCTGTTGTCGTGAGAAAAAAAGTGCAGAAGGAAACATCCATTGAAACTCAGTGTGCTGCTCTGTGATGCTAGTTCAAGCCAGATACTTTGCATCTCATCTTGGGTGCAAGTTCATCAATGTTTGGGCTCAGGCTCTGAGCGGAGGAAATCTTCAGGATCGAGTGAAGGTGTGCGTGCAATATACCGGCGGGCCAGATCTAATAGTAATTAGAAATTATCCTGCGGGCCGAAATTAAATCCACCAAGGGCCTGATTTGGCCCCCGGGCCTTGAGTTTGACACATGTGGTTTAGGACTAGGTTTGAATCTTATTTTCTATTCTATTTCTTTTGGCTTGATTATGTAAAACATGTACACAGAACATAATTAAAGACTAAAGAAAAAATCTAAAGAAAAAATAATAATGGTAAACATATATAAGCAACTTTCTATAAGCAACATACATCTTAGTCATAGTCTGACCCTATAGTAATCAACTTTCATGTGGTGGTGCAGGTGCAGGTTAAGATAAGTAGGAGAAGACATGCAACACACCCAGAATACTGTAGATAATACTGAACATACCTGGAAGGTGCCACACCCACGATGTTTGGGCCCAGTCCTCTGAGGAGTGAACGAGGTCCCTCTTTCTCTAGAATCAACCTGTAGAGAATTAAAGATTTGAATTCATGTTCTATTGGTTATTCCAGAATAATACAGAGCTAGTATACAGTATTTTTAACAACAAACATGAAATAAAACGTATACCATTGGGTTATTATTCATGGGAATGGCTAGAGAATAAATATATACCAATTAATACCACTAATGTCTGTCTGATAGATATAAAATACAATTTGAACAAGAAATAAACAGCAAGCCAATTTCTGCAAAAATGCTGGCGCTAGCTTATTATTTTTGCACAAGGTTGTATTGTTTTCATGTAACTCTCACCAAAAAAGCCAATTACTATGTTTCCCAAAATATCAAACTATTACTGTAAGAAAATTACAATTCATTGTGTGTGAGTTACACACACAGTAGATATTTATCTCACAGTCGTATGTAAAAAAAACTCCCTTACATGCTGTAAGATCACAGAAAATGAACAGAGCTAATAGAGGATGTTTATAGGGCACCATGGGAAAGTGCCCTTAGCATATGGAAAGGAAGTTATAACATTTTGGGCAATCTGCCAGGACCTGACACTCAGTACAGCCTGACATTACACGCTGGGTCACTATCAACATACTGGGTCACCCAAAATAAAGGAAACGGTAGGTGTCCTGTGTCAGGTGGTGTTTATATCATGACAGCTCAAATTGTCTGTTGTCACCTGAGTTCAAAGAGCGGTCTCCAACACTACCCTAGATAACCTCAGTACGGTTTATGGTTCTTCTTTCACCGCACGTTTTCACATAAACGGTGATGTAAAGTGTGTTCAAACAAAAGCTGTTCTTGCAAGTAATACGAGACGAGAAAAACGAGAAAAGTAGTCCTCTGGGCTAGATAATAAACTGCTCCTTTGGGGTAGATTAAATTCCCAAGATTTGAGCCTTCCCACACAATTACAAGAAGACACAGCCCATTATATCCTGGAGGAGCTATATAGCTGGAATTTGCCCTGGATGTGAGTTCTGGAAGGTCTTGTTAATATATCCATATTATAATAATGTAGTGATATGAGGGTACACACTGAGTAAGATTTTGGATATTCTGATATTGTAATATGACATAAGTGCGGTTCCTCGTTTTAAAGGCTGCATTAAAGTAGAGTTCTAGCATTTATCCACATTATATCCACATTACTGATAATCTTGTATCAACAATTGCAGTGTGCTGATATTTTGTGAAAGCACTAATAGTGAACTCTACATTGACAACAATAACATTGATATTTGATATTCCGTTTACTGCCCAGCCCTAGTTTGTGGGTTGAGCTTTCCTATTGTGAATATAAGATTTCTGCTCATTGCGAAATACTTCAACCCAAAAATGTACTGAATAAAATAAATCTCTTAAAATACACACAAATGACAGCAGTCTCCACAAACCCAAAACGTAAATCCTAAACTAACACACTGCACCAAAATGGAACAGTGCCTGCACCTCCCTGCACGTTGACCCACTTCTGACTCGTGTGGGTTTTTTCCTTTTCTTGCTACACCGTCCTTCCCTCTTCTGCCCTGCTCTGCTCTGTATCGAGTAATGGTGGTGTACAGTTTCTGCAAGTGGTTTTTCATATCAAGGACAACACAAGAAGCATTTATAACATAGCCTTGTTAAAGCAGGCAAACGGACAAAGACATACACTCCCATTTAGTGCAACAGCAAGGGAGAAAACCTATTTTTCTTTGCCAAACAAATGTGAGAACAACTAATTCTGGTTCAAATGTGTAATGTTGGTGACGATTAAGCCTTTCTGTTGAATTGTGCAAGAGCAAGATAGCAATATGCTGGCAAATCTGACTTCCATGGTAATTACCTATGCTAAAAATAATTGCGAGGTGAAACATGATCATGTGGTCCAGGATTCCTAGATTGCAATATAATTAATGCAAGATTTTGGGTGGAAAGTTTTACACACAGCAGCTTGTGCATTATGCAATATGTTTAACACAGTGTGACAGTCATGGAAATATGTTGCCAGCGAACAATAGTGGACCACTGTAGCTAAGTTGAACATTTACTTTACGACCGTTAATGCCTCAGTGACCAAGAGTAATTACAGCCCAGTGGTATTCAGTTGGTTCAAAATAAAAACCTAACCAAAGTTGGATTCCCCTACTTCCATTCCCATCTTTGTGTCATTTTAGATTCTTTAATGATAAGAGGAAGGGTATTCATTTGGAAAAAGTACCAGAAACAGTCAGTGGTTTACGGTTGGAATGATTCTTAAAATGGTTGATTGTGGATTGTGCTGTTTTCTAACTAAGTTATAATATAAAAGAGATCCAAAAACAGTAGTCTAAAAAACTTGGCTAAAAACATGCTGAACCCACTTGGCTACGCTAATGTAACCTTTCTTCTCCTGGAGCATTTAAGGAGTCATGAGGAGGAAAGTAATTACCTTTAACATGCATATTTGTTCTTAAACCCACAGGAAGATCACAGGTCAAACAACCAATTTCACTATTACTGTGGATTCACTGTACAGTACCAAAGCCCTGCCCATCTTGGTCAGTGACAGACAAGTTCAACAACTGACATGGACGTTTGTTGTGACAACAAACACAGTGTGCCACAGCTTTGACAGGCTTATTACAAAACTAACCAGGACCTTCACTTTGGGTCTTTCAGACCTTCTTCCTTTCTGCTACTTTGCACATTCAGTGCATGAATAATTCAAAGAAGAATAACTGCAAAAACTGCTTTTTAATAGACGTGTCTTTGCCTGAATTTGTACGGCTGATTTGTTACTGTAGCTCATAGCTCATCAAAATGGTATGGTTGAAAGTTAGTACAAATCCCATTTAGAGTAATTCTCCTTACTTGAGACAGTGCAGAGGCCCTGGTGGAGCGACACGGGCCACACTGGCTCCATTGACGGTGTTGAGCTGGACTTCAGAGATGTAGAAAGTGACGGAGGAGGACTGCAGTCTGGTCTTCACAACCTCCAGAGGACAAGTCACAATTGCGCCCACTGTGCCACCACATCTAGAAGAATGTAGGGAAAGGGCGCAGGAAGAAAGGGTGAAGAAACAAAGGTGAAAAAAAATCACAACGCTCTGCTTAAGCATATACATTGATCAAAACTGAGAGGGGACTAATCAAATGAATGATAATTAAATAACTACAAATTCATCACATATCCAATATTACTTGTATTTTGTTTTCATTTTGACTTCTTAAATGTAATGTCATCTTTAAAAAGTTTCTATAATAGGATGCATTATTATATTTGTTCAAAGTATCATCTATATTTGGCCTATTTCCTCAGCAAGTTCTCTTGTTTTATTCCATCCTCTAATACTGATGTTCCAAACCACCGGTAACACAATCTGTTTTTCCTTCTAGCACTAAAAGTATCCAGGAGCAGGCAAACATCCACACACTATGTGTTGTGATGTGCAAGATACTCAATCCGAAAAGCTGCCAGCTAAGAGAACTTGACCATGGCTGAGTGGAGCTGTAACCACTTTGTTGACTGTTGCCATCGGAGAAGGCAAGAATGAGTTGTCTTGAAAAATATACTGTTGTTTGGCTGACTCCCTGAACTCCTACACATATTATCACACCGTAAATATAAAGATGACTGACTGAAGACAAAACATTAAAAGCCAAAGTAGTCAGCCAATGAAGTTCTCCCTCAGTATGTAGCATTGTATTATCCTATTAATGTATGTATATATCAGTACTTTATTCTTATGTGCCCATGGCTACCAGATGTAACCTTAAAACAATAGTCTCCGCAACCCATGCATTATCGTCAATCACCTCAGTGTTCAGGATTTTATTTTAGACAGAGCTTCACAATCAAACCACCACAAAGCTAGAAAGTGCTTGTTTACTGCCATGGTGAAAAAACCACACAAATATTCTACACGTCAAGTTAAGTGAATAAATGATATAATTAATTAATACAACTAAATAGCTGTACTGCTACGGTGGTAAATGCATCCTAGCTGTTAGTTGTGAAATCATCCAGCTGCAGTCTCTTTTCAGTTACACCAGCTATATTTACCTTTCAAAAGACCGAGCCACATTCATGCTGCTCACAGGCAGCCGTGACCCTTAGCCTACTTTCAGAGCTACGCTGTCTGCTGCATGTGTGTGTGCCTCACTTGGTCGCCAGAGGAAACACTGTGTTCAGGTCTTGAGCTCAGGTATTTAGGGAAAGTAAAAGTGATTTTGCTGTTACTGACACTTCGTTTTATTTATCTTATCAAATTATTAGGTTCTTAACATGGCTAATTTCTGGAGTGGAGGAGCAGCACTGCTGTTGTTGACGCTGCTACTTCAGTAAATTAACGAAAGAGCAGCAAGAAGGCCGGAAATAAAATGATTGTTTTCAAAATAAAAGCGTAATCTCTTGTTACTTGACAAAAATAAGTCTATGTTTTAACACATTTATAAACAAAAAATAGTTGTAACTACTAAGGTGTATAGCCCAAGTCACCCCTTGGCCAAAACTTGCTCTCTATGTCACATTAGTGTGAACATTTTACTTTGCAAACTGTATATTTTGAAATGTTAACAGGAAGTTGAGTTTGAGTCGACCGTTTGGCACTGGCGTGCACATATGACAGGTTAGTAGCACATGCACGCGCTGCACATACAATCGGTTATGTGTATTTAACATTAGCAAGATCAACCAGACGACGAATTATGTTTTAAATGTATGAAATAACATGTGTAAAGTAATGTGTTACTCTGACTTACCCTCCAGCGAACAGATGAACCAGTGTGTCCCTTTGGCTCATTATTTAGCACTCCCTGACAGGCAGCGCACCTCAGGGCTGCGGCAAAGGGTCAAACACGGGCTTGGCTCCCGTCTCTTCCCGATGCTTTCCTCCTCCAAGGCGATGTGCCCGTCGATGGGCAAATGTCGTCGATGATGAACCAGCGGCGGGGCGAGTCTGCGTTGATTCAGACTGCAGTGGGCCGATAAACCCCCCTCTGTCGCTCTCGGCTTGCTCAGGTTCGCCTCTCACACAGATAGCTGTTTATCTTCGACTTAACAACCGGAGAGCTGCGAGCTGGCCGGGCTAAGAGCTGGAAAAGGAATATTTCAGCTCTAACGAACAGTTTTATGGCACATCCACGGGTTAGTCTCGATTATCTCCTCTGCTTTCATCGCTGCAGCGAGAGGGAAGGAGGCAGAGCTCATGGTACTTACTGTACAATCATAGGCTGGAATACAGACGCTGCTATTGGTCAATCTGGCCCCTGACGTCACGGACCTGAACATGCACTGTTCACATGCTTAGCGATGATTGAGTCAGTGATGACGTATGCTGCAAACCTTTCTCTATCATGGTTTACGATATATATATATATATATATATATATATAGAGGTGTGACACATTTTGGGATGAAAGTCATTGGGCAAGAACAGGTATATATGTCTATGGTTGTCTCATTGATTCAAAGATAAAAGTAAAACAGCCACAACAATAAAACAACATAGATTAGGCCGAATAAACATCTTTACAATATTTGAAGGTTTATAAAGCAATTGTTGGTAATATTGCATACTGATGCTAATACCCGAGATTGTGTAATGGCATTATCGGATTTGGGGGATTTTTTTTTGCATTAATGTAATGATTCAATTCAGCCAATTTCCTGGATTATCGGCTTATTTAACCTTTATAATGTTTATGACTTGAATTTCACAATGATAAAGGCTACTATATAACAATATTTAAATAAAATTGAAGAGTGGAAAATATGTTTTTTCTACTTTGACACTTTACTTTTGTGAAAATTCTGCTAATTAAAACAGTAGAGGAAAACACATCGAATCTCATACAGACAAAACACATTGAAACACAATTACATAAACAATGCACAATAGAAGCTTCATTAAAAGAGACCCTAGGTAGGCCTACTTGATGCAAGGACTGAATCAAGGTTTAACGAATATTAAATGCTATGAGTTTCACCCAGTATGAATGTGAAAGTCAAGGATGCTCAAATTCACACCCTTAACCCTCCAATAGCTGGAAGTCAGCTCTTTAACCTTGCTGTCACTGTTTCAAATAGTGTAAAAAAATACAGTGCTAAGGGTTTGGCTTTGAAGGCTTTAAGCGTTTCCCTTTGACAAACACTGGCAAAGCTCCGACGTCGGGATTTGAGGTCCAAATCTTTACATGTACTCTAATATGATAAAGTATACTCTGTTAAATGTATGGATGAAATCAAGCCACTGTTTTGGGGACATTTTTTATAGTTGAACCAAGCCTTTAACTAAGAGCATTTACTTATTCCATATAATCAGGGTTACTTTAATTTAGAAAATGCTCTATGCATGTTCTTTGTCTCTTGTTATTGGGTGTAGCTAACCCCTATTGCGTGTTAAAGTGCACTGTGATAGCACTTAGCATGGCAGGGGACATGCAGTTTAATTATCTTTCCCCAATAAGTCTGCTTTTACTACATGCTTCTTCATCTGAAAGATGCTAACCAATCACCTGACTGCACTCAGAGTAGTCAGTTGGTGATTTAATAATGGAGCTGAACGAGTACGCACAGTTTTTTAATTAGGAGCACAGTATGACAAGTTGGAGTCATGTGCATGGTTTCACTGTTCACATTTGTAGAGTAAAAACTAATTATGTAATGTCCTGCATTAGAGAGGTTATGAAAGTCTCATGACTAGGATGGCGGTGGAAAGAGTGATTTGGTGTCAGGTGAAAAGGTACGGTGTGCCTCTTGTTGTTACGCAATACCAAATTAAGATGGAATGAATGGGTTTGCTTGAATATATTACACTGGGTTTGTATATGGACAAGCCATCTTATTTATCTATTTGTTGGATATTATATCACAGGCACTGGCAATTTCTACAATGCAATTACCAGAGTTATCTACATTTGTATTTCCCTCAAGATTATATGAAGACCAATGAACCCAGGGCATGTCAACTCTGCTGAAGTGCTTTATATCTTCAGAAAACTATCTCATATTTGATGGCCTTTAATAGTTGGATTGTGATAAAGTAAATGGTCACAAGAGTATGTCCTAATTGACAATTGGGAATTGACTACATGTGTAGTGGGAGAAAGGCAGCAGGGTCAAATTAGTTCTCACAAGGACAAGCGTGCACTGGAAAATGAGAGAAACTGAATTATTGCCTTCTGCTGGTGCTCATGAGGACTACTGATGACCGTTTAGAGGATCACGAGATGGAACTGCAGGGTTTGAATTATACTGTTATTGAAAGCCAAACGCTGGGAATAAGTTTGACAATCTGTCTGCCTCTCTGTTTCCATCACTATCCCTCCATCTCTCTCTGTAATCCATACTGTAGGTTCATTATGTAACACAATTTATACCGGTATATTTTTGGGTATTTTGTGTCAATCTTCACAATCCCTAGGTCAATATTTCTAAATGTGACCCATATATCTAACTTAAATATTATAAACTGTTTATTATTGTCTAAATATACATTACTGTTCTTCAGATATTTCAATTAGCAAAACTGCACTTGTGAAAAAGACGCTTTACATGCAGTTTTCTGTGGCTGTCCTAGCAGCTGAAGAGAGAGATAAGCATTACAACAGATAAAGCCGAAGCTGATTCCCATCTTTTTCGGAGAAATGACAGCAGTAGCACGCTGGAATCATGATGCTGACAATGACATTTTCTAATGTGACTAACACACTGTTGCAACTTGTTGTATCTCTTCTATGTCAAGTAAACAGTTAAAACCCTCGTCTACCAGCCTCAGAAACTCCCTTGTTACAGCAGCAATGGATCATGAATCAAGTAATGTAACCATCAAAAACTCATCAACTGAATTTTACTGTTCAATATTTCAGAAATAATGTATTATGTAAAAGTGACTTTGTTTTGTATTTAATACATGTGTGATGTGTAAATGGAATGTGTGCATTTGTGTTCCAGTGAATGTTAAAGTTCACTAACATTCATGTCTCATGCAGAGAGGTAGTGTCTCATGATTTCTGTTGGACTTTGGCCAAACAGAGGGGCAGAATAACTAACGAGAACCACGCTTTGAGGTGTGTGTGTGTGTGTGTGCGTGTGTGTGTGTGTGTGTGTGTGTGTGTGTGTGTGTGTGTGTGTGTGTGTGTGTGTGTGTGTGTGTGTGTGTGTCTGTGTGTGTGTGTGTGTGTGTGTCTGTGTGTGTGTGTGTCTGTGTGTCTGTGTGTCTGTGTGTATGTGATGATCCCGACTAATAGATTACGCTCACCTCTTTATCAGTTTTTGGGTTCAAAGTAGAATGAAAGGAAGAGGCCGGGTTAAAGGGTAATGCAAAAATAGATATTGTTTAACTAATGGTTAACAATTACACGTTGGAGGTCTATTTTAGTTCACACAAATGGGACATTTTAAAATGTTCCAAAATATCTTGGTCTTTTTTTGCATATCTGTGACAAAATACTCACTTTTGGTCTAAAAGGAACAAAATAAATCATTATGATGACGGACTGATGTAGATGTAGATCTGTTTGAATATTGCATTAGTTGGTAAATATTTTTGAACAGTTAAGACTTTTTTAAATGTTTGCTTTGTGATGATTAAATGTCATCAAGTTTCTTTGAGGTAGCTGATGCTAAAAATACAATAAACACAATATAAATCAATGCCCTGGCTCATCAAAACATGTTTCCAATTCCAGTAACTCAACCAGTAAGTCAATAAGAGCCTTTGATATGTTTGTATTTGCAGATCATAGGTTCAGTTTGTACACTATACTATATATGGAAGCAGCAAAGTATCATCCCAAGGGTGCTGGATATGGTTCCCATACTACAATGTGCAAATGTTAATGCCTAGATCAAAGAATAATTATTCAGATCCAGAAGAAGTAGCTGCACCCTACAATGAAAATAATAAGATAAACTAAATATATTCCATCTTAAGAAGTTCTCAGTGTTTCCCCTATATACAAATAGTGGCGGCGCAGCGCCGCTGCTGAAATATGCGCTCCGCTGCTAGGGGGCGCCAGCCAGGTACCCAAACTTCTTTTTTTTTTTTAAATAATAATAAGTGGCAACCCTTTTTCATTTTTTATTGTTTGTTATGTGGATTTGTAGTATTTGTGTTACTGTATGTTCAATAAAGGTGTATTTTTGCTAAATCTTGAGACATTGCCACTGTATGTACTGGCAGGGCCGATTTTTGGCATAGGCGGTCGCCTAGGGAGCCAGATCTGGGGGGCGCTGCGCTGGCAGCTCTGGGAGGGGAAAAAATATTTTTGACCGTTGGCGCTCATCCTAATTTTCAGCCTTGATGTAACAACATTCATAATTAAGTAAATGTAACACCCTTTTCACCCCGGTTACACTTTTAATTTGCCCTGTACGATGGGCGCTGTAAGTGATGAAAGTGGGGGATGTTGGCTTATCAGTCGCCCGCAGCTCACAGCCAAAGTGCGAGCATGGGAGCGAGCGAGCGAGGGAGAGAGAGAGGGCGCACCGGTACCGGCGCTGTTGTTATTAGAATCTGGTGCTAGCTGCGCTAACGGATATAAGAAATAGATGTTTCTACAACCAGGGAGGAGGAGAGCTCTCCTGTCTGACTGAGAGGCTCAGTGAGGTAAAGGACTCTCTGAGTGTTTAGATCAACCCACTCTCTTCAGTCTGCGTACAAATGACACGACTTTACACATTGGAAAATGCGTGCAATAGATACGCTAAAGTCCGAACTGATTTTCAAAATAAAGCCACCGGAAACAGACGTAGGCCCGGTTCAAGCTCGATGATTGGATGTTGTAGCCGCAATGCACGCTGGGATATGGTGTTTCCCCAATTTATAGTGTTGGTCCACAGCGCAAACGTATTAGTTTAACAAAATCCGCATCTAAAATTGTGGCATAGATATGTTATTTTCCCCTGTGCAATTCTCCATTTACTCAACAATAACACATAATTATCCTTGTGTTTATTTATTTGTTTGATTAATAAACACAAGTTGGAGTCCGTCAGAGTACAGAATAATCAATCATCTAACCTCCAGCTGTCCACAGGTGTCCCACAAGGGTCAATTCTGGGTCCATTGTTATTTTCATTGTATATAAACGACTTACCATCGATATGTCCTGACACAAACATCCAAATGTATGCTGATGATACTGTAATTTATGTTCACGGAGGCAGTCTGACACAAGTGGCTAATGTGTGTATATGTAAAGCGCTTTGAGTCATTGAAAAAGCGCT